TCTCTCTCTCTCTCGCTCTCTGCCTCTCTTTCTCTCTCTCTCTCTTTCTGTGTTTGTGTGTGTATGTGAGTCCATCTATCTCCCAGTCTCTCTATTGCATCCCGTCTCTCTCATCTCTGTCAGTTTCCCCTTTACTGTATCCTTCTTGAACAGAAGAAGCATTATGTCGCCGTCTGTGGTGTAGCAGGTAGGCGCTCTGCTGTAGCACGCAGAAGACTTGAGACCAATGTCCCATTTGAATAGCATTTTTTATGGAGTATTTCGTCTTTCTGATAGGACTTTGATTCCCTCCGAGCCCGGATTGGCCCTGACAGGTGGGATCGAAGCCTGCCTCCTAAATGACCTCCTAGATTCGCCGATTTTTAAAGAAGACATTATATATTTGACATTATAATATGTTCGTGTAGAAACAACACAAACCAAAACAAACAAAAACAAAACAACCCCTTTAAGTTCAGTTTGTTTTGCATTAAAGATTCGACAAGTGAATACATGTAGGGGCCTATTGGACCATCAGGAAAACAAACTGGTTATCATCCCTCCCTCCCCACCCCCCTCCTCCCATACCATCTTTTTTTCTCCAACAGAGACAGATTTCGAACAGCTATCAATGTGTGGGGTGACTCGGTAGGAGCTGGCATCCTCAACCACGTTTTCCGTAGACTTTTCAGAGAAGTGAGTTCTCCATAATATAAACGTTCCCAGAAGTGCATGTTCTGAGAGCTTTTCGAATGTGAAAGTCGGTAAAAATCATTCTGTTGTTGTAAACTGTCAGCGGACAAAATGTAGTCATATCAGATTGTAATATTAATCAGCATTGGTGTCCATGGTGTAAAAGTTAGACTCTGTGCTGTTAATTTTAGTTTTATTACGGTCATATGAGCGCCAAGGGGTGGATGTCAACAGAGAAGTCCAAACGGAGAATAAGGCTTACTCTGCTCACCTCTCTAGCCTCAAAAGTGCAAAGTCTGCCTGTGGGTGGTTGGCGGTGCTCTGGTGTGGTTTGCTTCTTCTTTCCTATCAAACATCTATCGTCCTTATCTCCCCTTCATCTTTTTTATGTTTGTTACTCTCTTGTAACAGCTCTAATCTTCTGGCGCTCATATGACCTTATGCAGTTGCGAGCGCCGAAAAACCCCTACTAAACTAAACTAACTAAAAGGTCTGCCTCGGCCATCATATCAAGGCACCCCGGAATTAGCAGTTCACAAGAGAGTGACATTCATACAAAAAGAAGTAGAGGGAAAAAAGGACGACTGTAAAAATGAGGAAAGAAAATGCAGCAGTTCCCCCTATTTTGTTCCGGCACAGTATGAGCATGACATTGACAAATCAGCCAATTCACAATTCTACTGCCCATAAGAACATGTTAATATCCCCCCTTTGGGAATGACCTAAAGACAACTTCAGTCAGTGGCACTGGCCGGGTCGGGGTCGGTGCCGTTGCACACAGACGACATGAGTTCTGTTCTCGAGTGAGGAGGGTATGTTTTGAATTGAGTATCTCCATCTGTCTGCTGGGATGTTGCATCCCTTTAAGTTTAAGCGCTGGTTGACCCTGTCATGCAGGATTAAAGCAGCAGTATTTCTAAATTATCTAACTCGTGGCGATACGATGTTGGTGTAACCCACTTCCGATGTAATTAGATAGATTACGAGTATTATATTCGAACACACTCTAATAACCACCCATCATATTTTCACTCGGCGCCCGCCCGCCCCCAACCCCCCACTCCTCCTTCCTTCTGACCTGTTGTTTTGTTATGAGTTTTACCGCGCTCGCAACTGCATATGGTCATATGAGCGTGCGAAACACAAGTTGGTTGCATTCACAACAGTTCACTGCACGACTGGGCTCGGGTTAATAATCAGATTTTAAAATGTTAAAATGTTTTAGAAAATTGAGGTAACTGCGTTTGTAATTTAAAATAACTTTTTAAAATACATAACAATAATTATAAACAATTTTATTTCATTTTACAATTTCCCATAAAGGCCACCAGACCTGTTTGACTGCACGTTTGCC